AAAAAGAAGCAAATTCCAGCCACAAGCCGGGAACAGACGATCAGTACCAGCGGAGTAGGAACCCCGACCCCGAGCCTGAGGCCCGGCTCTGCGCGGGGGCGGGGCTTCGCCTCCGGGAGGCGGAGTCGTCGTTTCGCGTTTCCGGCAAGCTTGTACCTCTTCTCTTGCCGTAGTGTCTCAAACCGGAAGCTCACCCGGTTGCGTGCACCAGACTTCCGGGCGAGAGTGGGGCTAGTTGGTAGCATGTGGGAGCCGCTGTGGAGAGTCGCTGGCGTCTGAGTCCTGTCCGAAGTCGAGCTCCGGGTGAGCAGGAGCCGTGGGTCGGGCGGCATACGCGGGAGGGTAGGGTGTCCGCGGGCTCTCGAGTCTCCGCGGAGTCGGCGCTGGCGCGTAGGCTCCTCCGGGGCCGCCGGCGGCGTGTGCGCGGCCGCGCTGAGCGCTGGGGACACTTGCTCCGACCGGAGGCCTTTGCCGCTTGCGGTCAGACCGGCTTCTCGTCCTGTAGCGGCTTCTCACGGTGGCTGCGTTTCTTCGCCCGTGTTTTTAGAAATCCGCCGGCCTGGAGGATGACGTCCTTAGCCCAGCAGCTGCAACGGCTCGCCCTCCCCCAGAGTGATCCCAGCCTCTTGTCTCGGGATGAAGTTGCCTCTTTGTTGTTCGACCCCAAGGAAGCGGCCACCATCGACAGGGACACCGCCTTTGCCATTGGTGAGCTGCCCTTGAACTTAGGAAAACTGCGAAGCGTGCGTTTCCTGGGTGTTGCCGTATGTTCTTTTTCTTCTCTGACTGCCCTCCTCAGCGGTTTCTAATTCTCTGATTTGACTTACCTTGTTAAGACAGAGAATGACAATCAAGGACGTGCTACAAGCTTGAAATGTATGTAGGTAGCAGTATCTGAATTTCACAGACGAAGAAACAAGGTTAGGGAGGTCACCTAAGACGGAGAGGAAAAGCAGCCGAAGAGGGCTGGGGAGGTAGGGCTGGCGGGGTAGGAGAGGGGTCTTCCCAGGGCTGGCCTAGTTATGTATTGAAATTGTGTTGTATTGGGGGGAGGGTGGGGGAAGGCCTTCTGCTAGGAAGTACTTTCCATTCTCCTAGTTGGTGAGATGAGATTTATTCTCTATGCGGGAAACTAGAAAACTGTGTTTGAGATTATTACCAATTACATATGCTAAAAAAATTCAGGATTTTTAGGGGTAAGTAAAGCTGTAAGAGAGGGGTGAGATAGATGAGTTTGCTTGCAAAGAATTGTGAGTAATCTGCTGGCCTTTTCCTAGGATGCACTGGCCTGGAAGAGCTGCTTGGAATCGATCCTTCCTTTGAGCAGTTTGAGGCACCACTGTTCAGTCAGCTAGCAAAAACCTTGGAGCGCAGCGTTCAGACCAAAGCAGTGAACAAACAGCTGGACGAAAACATTTCATTATTTCTTATTCACTTGTCGCCTTACTTCCTGCTGAAGCCAGCACAGAAGTGTCTGGAGTGGTTGATTCACAGGTAGCAAATGGAATTACGGAAATAATTATGGGGTCACAACATTCATCTTTTTCTTTAAAAAGTAATGAGAACATTTGTCGATTTAAAGTTGAAGAATTAGGTATAGTAAGAGGCTAACGTCATTTCTGTTGGGTGAGATCAGCCCTTTTCATATTGAACTCATTTATATTGATGGTGAAAAACAGGGCTACTGAAGGCCCTGAGTAAATAGTCTAACCTCAGTCCTCAGGAGCTCACGTCACTTTGCCGTTACAAATGGCTGCTGCGTATTTGGGGCAGAGGGTAGTATTAAACGTCTTCCCTGCCGAAAGAATGACAGCAGTGATTTGGGAAGAGGCTGATGGTGTTCTCTAAAATACCTTAACTTAAGAAAACCAGTAACAGCTAACGCGTGTTGAACGTCTGTACACCAGGCCTTTGTGTGTATTATTTCAGTGCTCACAGCATGCCTGTGGGGAGATGCTTCTCCCATCCCCGTTTTACAGTTGAGAAAACAGAGGTGTGAAGGGGTTAAGTTGCCTGAGTCACACGACTAGTAAGCGGAGGTACAAGATTGTTTCCAAGGATGTGATCTTTCATCCACCTTGGAAACTGTCTCAGTGAAGTTTACTCAGTTTATTTTCTCGTTTATTTGAGTCACATCAGTATATCGCAGTTTACACATTTTTGTCTTTTCTTCCTTACGTATGTTTTAAAAGTAGGAAGGTTTCACTTCATTAATTGGAGGCCTGGGGGTATGGGAAGCAAGCGAGTCATTGAGAAAACAGACATTTAACTTGGGTCGTCTGATCATCCGAGTATTAGACTCATCAGACGAAAAACATCTAATATCGTCCCCCCGTCTTCTAGCATCTAGTTTCCCCCAAATAGATCATGAATGTGTAAGGAGTACTTTTTACGTTGGGTTTTGTGCTTCTTCACTCATGAAGCTTATTTAGCAAACATTTTAAGTTCAATACAAGGATGAATAGGCTGCCCTTTCTCACTGTTTTGAAATAAATGCCACAGTAAAGGTGTATACAAAGTTTTGGGTACCTAGTGCTGCCTGAAGTAATTGAAGGGAGAGAGCTTGATGGAGAAAGTGACATCTGGGCTGGCACCAAAGCTGTATATAGAACCACACTAAAGGCACAGGTGAGAGGATAGGAGAGTTCAGGCAGACATGAGAGATCTCTTGGCTGGGAGAATTAAAAGCATCTTGAGAAAGGAGGCATTTGCACTAGATCCTAAAAGCTAGAAGGAATTTGATGGATCTGACAGAATCAACAAATCTGTGTTATTAGAGAGGAGGGAGCCTTACAAAGTTTTGTGAAGTTCACAAATTACATGTGGCTGTATTCAAAGAAAGTAATATGATTTTCTGTTTCACTCAGTCTTAAGGTTTTGGGTTGTAGCAATTAGATAAACTGAGGAAGTTCCACCGTGGCAGGTGGACTCTAGGGCAGGGGGAGAAGCCAACATTGCTACCCCGCTGACTCGTTACTTCTCTGTCCATTTGGCTGCTGTGATCCCACAGTTATGTTGATGTAATGAGAGGTTTTTTAAGAAGTTGAGAGGAAGTGAATGGGTGTCAGTTTTGATACTGAATGTTTAAACACACTGCTGCGTGAGAATTGGCAGCAGCCTGTTGAAGAGTGCTGGGATGGCTGCTGTTTAAGTTTTGTGGTGGTTTTGGGCGTGTAAGGAAATAAATGGTTGGGAGTTTTGTGTCAGTTCGAATTTTTTCTTTTTCCCCCAGGTTCCATATCCACCTTTACAATCAAGACAGCCTCATTGGTTGTGTCCTGCCATACCACGAGACAAGAATATTTGTGCGGGTTATACAGCTTCTAAAGATCACTAACTCAAAGCACAAATGGTTCTGGTTGTTGCCAGTTAAGGTATGGTTGTTGAATGACATGTATCTGTAGTCATTACAAATCTTAATTATGAGTATAATTTGGAGAAAGTAAAATCATTCATACTCCTGAGAGTGGTCAAGTATTACCTCCATCACTTTTACTTCTTGACTTCCAGGTGAAACTTTAGAATGATAGCTGGCTTTTATTTAGTACCTGATACAGGCTAGGCAGTTTATATTGTATTATCTTGGATTCTCACAAAACCATTTTTACAAATGAAGACAGACTCAGAATTAGTAAGTTACTTGCCAAAGTTCATGTAACTCTAGAGTGAAAATCCAGATCTGATTCTAAAGCTTGTCTTTACCATGCTGTCTGGCATTTTACATTTTGGAACTGAAAAGCTTAAAAAAAAGTTGGAGGTGAAGAAAAGCATAAAATACTTACAGAAATTAAAAGGATGAGGACAACTTGAAGGACTTCAGGAAATTACTAAAGTTGTAAAGAAAATGCTAGGAATTAATTTACAGGTGAGGAACAGGATGGTTGCCTTACAGGAAGGGCCTGGCTGGGATGGGATAGTGTGATTTTCTGTAAGACAGCAGACTCGCCAGTATCACTTTGCAGCCGTGGTAGAGGAAAGCAGGTGTACCTTGTGGGCAGGAATTGTACTGAACGTTGAGCATGGAGTTCAGGCTAGCGGACTGGGACTGTGAAGGAGTTACCTTTATGGGTGATGGCAGTGAGTTCCATGATCGGAATGAGAAGAAAGAGAGGAATGGAAGTTTTTAATTAGATGAAGAGTTTAAGAGTTTGGATGTAAAGCACTTGAGCCGAAGAATGTTGAGGAAGAGAAGCCAGCCTGTGATAAAGCTTCTTATCAAAGTACTCAGCGTTCCCTCTGCTCACAACACGCAAATTAATTTTTCCCAAGTCTACACACAGACCCTGCCGTTCTAGTCACAGTAGTTTCAGGTTTCCAAACCCCACCTAATCTAAGTTCACCTTAGA